TCCCTACCTATTTCTCTTTCATCCAACAGCACCCTGTGTCCGCGTGTCGCCATCTTTCGAAATACAAAATGCCGTAGCTGGCGCGGGAGCTTTTAAAGAGAATTCCGTGGCGTGGGATATTATCGATAAAAGAGAAACAGAGAGATCTTTTAATATTATTCGATAGATTGTGGATCTTTATTCAACGTTTTAATTTTTGTAACGAATTTTTACGATTGAAAAGAGTGAAATAGACATTCATTTTCGTTCTTTTGAATATATATAATAATTTAATTTTGAAGATATTTTGTTTTGTGTTTATTATAAATACATTTTATTTTATAAAATTTATAAATAGATTAATAATCCGTAATGTGTTAATAATTATTTGTTAGTTGTTATAGATAAAATGATCTAATAATTATTAATATTTACTTGTTTGTTAAAAAAAAGTGTACAGTTTTATAGTAATTTTTTTTTAAATTTTATGTGGGATTAAGAGATTTTTTAAGTATTGAAAGATTTATTGTTGTACTTCCATATATTATGAATTGAAAGCAAATTATTTTTATTATGTAATAAAAAAAAACCATTTGAAATTCTACTATATACTATCTAAATATTTAATTCTAATATAATTCTTATAAAATTTATAAAAATTTAAGATTTTGTTAATTATTTAAGATTTTGATAATCTTTTCTTTAAACTAACGCAAACTTCAATTTATACTTAACTTAATAAATAAATTCAACCGATATTTTTGTATATCAATATTTTTTGCATTCATTTCTGTCTTTAAAATCAATTCTTTAAAGATTTTTTGCATAAATATATATTTATGCAAATATTTTTTTCTAGTAGAATATAATTTTGAAATGATTCTTTCAAATCGTTTTTAAATACAATTCTATAATGGCGTGAAATAGAGCAAATTTTTAAATTATAAAAATTATAACTATTCAAATTTTTTAATATTTTACTGTATTGTAAAAACTATGAAATTGTATTCAAAGTATGAAAAAATGATTGTTCGAAAAAATAATTGCTCCATATATTCAATGAAACTCACGTCTAAATAAAAAACTTAAAAGCACATCCATTTAGATTGTGACTGATCATAAATAAAGATATTTTCTTCTCAAAACAACAATTTTCAATTTGAAACATTTTTTCAAAAATGAATAACATAGAAGATAATTGTATCATTTCAAACAGTACAAGTATACAATTGATGTATATATTAATGTATATTATAATACGATTAATTCGTTCCATGTTTTATTGAAATTGTGTTGAAGAAAATATCAAAGACATATTGTACTATTTAATCCTAGTTTTGTAGAAATTATCAATACATTCACACTCTTGTCAATGATGGCATTTCTGATATCACAGATCATTTTTCTTTCATAATTATGAATGCATAATAGTAATTCGTCGATTCTTATTAAATAGAAGACACATACGACATCGCGTGAAATGACAAATTAGAACTAACACAAATTAAAGAAATGTCAAGAAAAACGATATAATACAAAAATATATTATTATATATAATATTATATATATTATTATATATAAGTGTTTAAGTTTATTAAATTATATCGAAGAGTATGTATAAGAGTTAAATTTTCTCATTATATTTTCATAGTTACGTTACGAGAATCGTAACAAATTTTTATCATCAAAGCAGGATTTTTAGGTTACGTAAATTTTCCAATAAATTATCACATAAATCTCATTTCCCTTAACGAATGATTCATTCCTTTTCTCTTATTCAACATTAATACCGCGAACGAGAATTTCTCGGGAGCGGAAAAACATTTCGTGACTCGATAGAAAAAGGCTTGAGGCAAGAAATTAGTCGCAACGCGGGGTTCGACGTTTCAAAAGTTAATGACTAAAAACGACATTGAAGACTGGCGCTGGATACTTGTGCCATTTGAGGGTTGGAAACGAACGCGTTCGAAAGTCTCGGCCGCATTGGTGAAGCCATTTCCTGGCCGGACACTTTGTGCATGGATTATAACCAACGAGTAAAAGCAAAGCAAACCGCGTTTTACTTGGCATCGCAGTTTAACAGGGTTAAGTCACCGCGGTTCCTGGGCTTTTAACTCGAACAACACCATCCTGCATTATATATCAAAAGAGCGAAACGCACTGGCTGTTTTAATATGTACCGCTCAGGATTCGGGGTCCACCCGAGTGATTCTGCAACGGTTGGATCCTAACTGTTGCCTGTACCCCTTCGTCCTGTCCATTCTTTAACTTTGTCAAAAAACCGCACCACTTCGAATCGTTTCATTTTCCAGATGATGCATTTGATTATATCGAGTGGCCGTCATGAGCCTTCGGGCCCATTTTTTCCTCAAACGTTGCTTCGAAGAAAATTCTTAATGTAGTGTTGACGCGTCATTTCAGACTTTTTTCGAATTTACTTCGAGTAACAATTTAATAAAAATAATAATTTTAAATAAAGCTATATTGTTTTATAAATTTATGTAAATTTCAATTGAGGTTATGCTCGTTGTTTGTTTGGCCAATTGAAATAATTTTGAATAATGTTTGGAAAATTAAATTAAATAGGGATATTTATTATTCGATAAGTGATGTATTTCAATCGAATTTGTAGAAGTAAAGTTATAATTTTGAAAAATAACAAATTAAAGAATTAATTGTTTATGGATAATGTTTATTTTCTAAATTGAAAATTTCTGAAATAATTTTATTATTGAATAAATGTAACAATCATTATAGTATATAACGGATGATATTAATCAGAAACAATAACAATGTAAACGTTTGTTGTTATTAAAAGAACTATTTTCATAAAAAAGAAATAAAAAATAATTTATTTTTCATGAAATATTAAATAAATTTGTCTTTCTTGACGTTTATTTTGTCACGAGAAAAGTTAATTAATAACCAATTTAACAAAAATAATTATTGAAAATCATAATATTTTATTATTTAAAATAATTAAAATAAATTTATTCAATCGTATAATTTAATGTTGAAAAATACTTTTAAAATTCATCATAAAGTAACAAAAATAAGTAATAAATAAAATTGCATATTTAATATTTTTTAAAATGTAAATCGAAATCATCGAAATCCAGTTTTTTTCTATTAATTTGCTTCAACTATTTTGAAGAAAAATAAAATAAAAAAATTGAAAAACAAAAATACGTAAATTATATTTACTAATATTTCTTATTTAATACTTTTAATATATAAATATTTTTGCTAATATAACATTTTTTCCTTCAAATTCTTAATAATTAATTCTATTGTTAGATAGCAAAATCTGAGATATTGCACTTTTCTATAAAAAAATTTTTTAATTTATTTAGTTAAAATACAATGTTTTTTTTTTGCTTTTTTATAAACTTTGTTATTTTTATAAAGTAATGTATCTTATCTATGAATACTTAATGAATTAATATTTATGAATACATAAGAATATATAATAAGAATAAAACTGAATAAAATTTTTAAAAATTCTAAATTTACAAATGTACGATTTCCTGTATTACACAAATAAACAGAAATAAAATTTTCAATAATATATCAATTATTTTACAATTAATTGAATCAGACAAAAAATGTTTTCTATTTATGCTCGCCATGTAGATACGAGAAAACACACATCTCAATTTTGAATTTTAAATTTTCAATTTCAAGAAATGATACATCAAGTTTTATTGATCTGAGTATAGAAATAATTATCTATAATCTGTAATTCTTCTTTGCTAAAATAATAATAAAAAGGATAATTTTTGTATTTGCCACTTTACTGTGAATATCAGAAAGTTTATTCGAAACGCCTCCATTTCCATTGATCGACTCTGCAACCCTCGAAAGACTCGAGGGTATCTTGGATCGACATTTGCGCGCGTAATTTCATTTTGTCACCCTACATACGTCTTTTATTCAATTATTGCATGACTCATGGCCAAAAAGATAGGTGTGCGTAGAATATATCTACACATAAAGTTTTAAAAAAACAGCATGTAAAAACTTGATGAAAATTTTATGAAAAATAACGAAAAATATATTCAAATAAAATTTGTTTCGATATAATTTATATCCTTTCTAAGATACTTTGAAACATTTTCGAAAGAGATAAAAAATTTAAAAAAATAAAAAATTATTAACCCATTCATTTTTACAAGTATTAATTGAAAAATTTGATTGATTGATTGTCAATAATTTTTCCTTATATGTAATCATTAATATGTATTGCACTGTATTTATAATTAATAGAAACATATATTGTATTTATTTGATGCAGATATATTTTTTTTTGCGCGCGATAAAAAGAATAACCGATGATCTTTGCAAAAATATTCAAGCAAAAATGAATTATTAATATAGAATCAATCGAATACAAGATTATTCGGATTATTATTACAGTAAACTGTTATATCAAACTATCTTTGTAATGTTGAATTTCATCATTATTTAATTTATTATGCAAAAAGGTTAGATGTGTTAAATATATATTATTTATATTTCTATCAACTACAATAATAAATTCAATAATATTATAATAATATTGCGGCATATTATAACTATACATTGTTCCCCAAATGTTAACAATTTGTTTTGCAAACAAATATTACAACGCTATCAAAGTTGTATATATAAGTTGAATAAAATTAAATTTTAATATTGTGCAATTGTTTTGTATGATTTTAAAATGTTTTTTTTTTATTTCAAATATTTATATTTACTTCTTTAATTATATATAATCTCAATTCTGAAAAATATTCTCTACCTATCAAAAAAGCATAATTGAAAGAGTACCATCCTCAAAAGGTTAATAATACATTAGAGGAAAATAGACAAAACAACTTCTCATATTTCCTATTTCTTGAAAAAATACAATACTCACCTGAATTCTAGCTTCGTTCAATTTGGTGGACCTTGCCAATTCCTCCCTGCAGTATATGTCTGGATAATGAGATTTTGCGAATGCCGATTCCAATTCTGCCAGCTGCTCCTGCGAAACAATTGGGAGGGCCGTAGTAAAGCCGATCTGAACTATCCGGCAGGAAATTTGGCCGCTATAGCGAAAGAACTCGTATCGAGGTAATCGAAAAAGTGTGCAACGAGTTTATCCGTAAATAATCCCTCTATCGAGAACCGTAACAATAATTGAACGTTGGTTGGAGAAAATGTGTCATATTTAAGCCAAGATTTCTTTTTTCTTTTTCTAATGATATGAATTTTATTTTCAAATGATATGAATTCATGCAAAATTATTACGAGAGAAAATAGATTCGGTTCGTTTGTAACGTATATCATAAGAATTTTTTGCCAGATCTATCGATTGATGGCATAGGCAATTAACTCTAGATCATTTGTGATTATGATCACGCTATTTAAGTAGTTTTAGAAATAGTTTTTGTATCAGAAACTATGCGTGTTTTTATATTTGTATTTCGAGAATTTCTATAAAAATATAATCTTCTTTGTTTCCATGCGAAGATCTTTAAAAATTCGAAATACAAAATGTTAAAATAAATGTAAAGTATACGTACAAAATGTTAATATATTAATGGAATATCTTTGAAGGATCGATTAAAATAAATATAAAATTTGGTGTATAGAAATGTTGGTTTATTCTTTAAGTTTTTAAGCAATTTAAATTTGCGTTAGATAAAAAGAGACAAGAGAATACATATGCGATAGTTATAAGGAAGACAGAGCGATCTCTATTTCGCTTCGTCTCACGCGAATTTCAATTATCTTATAACGAATATATTATATATCGTTCAGCAAAATTTTTGATTCAAATTTATCATTTCATTGTTACTTGATTGAATTCGAAAATCATGATTATTTTTTATGAAAATGAATGATTTTTGAAATGCTTTAAATATCAATGTAGGCAGTAAAAAAAAAATTAAAATAATCTATATATAATCGAATTAATAATGATTAAATTTATAATGTTGAAATTTATAAATATTAAAAACAAATAATGAATTATCAAAATTATATCTATCTACAATAAAAATATCAAAGTGTATCCTTTAAAATGGAGTAACTTTCTTAAAACGGGATAAAATGACTTGAATTTTTTTGAAAAATTAAAAGTTAGTGATTAATTAAATTACTAGATAAAGGAAAATTTTGTAATTTGTAATTGAATCACGAAGAAAATAAAAGAAGATAATAAAAGAAGATCGCTTTTTACAACTTTTTCATATGAACTTGTAATGAAAAATTTAAAAAATACATTTTGTTGGTTATATATGTGGTGAAAATATCATTGAAATCGATTAACGTTACTATGAGTTATGAACAATTAAAAATAATGATAATCCCAGTTTTTCTCGTGTTTTTGCATCAATTGATTTCAAATTTTCATTACAGATAAAAAAAATTGTAAAAAAAGAATCTTTATTTTCTTTATGATTTCGATTAGTTTCAACTTTTTTAAAAATTTTTTTATCCATCCATTTTTATTCGAAAAAATTCAAATCATTTTCAACTATTTTAAAAATATTATTCTATGATAAAATAAAAGACTTATATTTTCATTTGCTATTGTGTACATTAATCGATCATTATATATTTTTGCGGAGAATAATATATTTATTAAAATTCTTGAATTATTTTTTGTAATTTATTTCAAAAATCGTTCATTTCCATGAAAAATGATCATGATTTTTAAATGGAGACTTTAAAATCAGAAAACTTTCAATTTTACTCTGCGATACTGTATAGCTTTATAACTTAACAAATAAACCTTAACGAATATTTTTGTAATTAATCAATTTTTGTGTTATTTTTTCTTGCCTCTAGAATCAATCCTTCAAAAGTATTCCAGAAATGTATTAACATCCTATATTATAATGAATATTATAATGAATAAAAAATATGTAAATTATTTGCTGAATATTTAAATATATTATCTTTTTCTTGTAATTCTAATTCAGAATAATTCGACTGTTGACGTCGAAGTTTATGAGTACACGTCAAATTATTATCATTATTATTTATAAGTTAAAATAATATTGGAAATTATATTCTATAGTATAGGTGTATTTTTAAAAAATTGATGGGCAAAACAAACATGAAAGTTGGTATAAAAATTAAAATTGTGTTGTAAAGTTTCAATTTTATCGGAAAATTAGAAAATTAAAAAAAAATGGAAAATGTTTAAAAATTTTAGGAATCATAATTCAAGGATTGTAAAATTATTTTTAATGTTTTTAAGAACAAACCTGCGTAAATGTAGTCCTGTGTCGTCGTCGAGCAGGTGTTGGACAACTGGCGGTGGTTGGCGTATGACCTATGTGAGGACTCGAAGCACAGGGGTCAGGTTTTAATTTCTTAAACGCTCCTTCCGCGCCTGGAATTAAAAAGAAATCAGATTCAATTAGTTTTTATTATTCTAAGCATTATTGATCTTATATTTATAGAGGAAAGCAATTAAAACGAATTCTTTCTATATATTTTTCTAGCTTATTTAAATGGATATGGTTAATGGAAAAAATATTTCAGAATATTGGCATGAAATTAACAATGAAATTATAATCATTATGATTCAATATTTATTCATTATTAATGATTTTTATATTTGCGATTTTTGAAATTGTTTCATTGGCTTCTCTTCAATATGACATGTTTGATTGCTTAATTATAGTATACTAGATGTAAAAGTAAATTTATAGAATCTTTTAATTGTTTTTTTAAAAACAATAAAGACGACGATATTTTTAAGATAATTCTGTATTCTTAAACTCTTATTCATTGAATACAAAATTAAAATTTGCAATATTTTCCATTGAACAATTGCGAATAATCAATACATTTTTTAATTTTTAGGATAAAAACAATAAGAAAGTTGGGACAAAAAATTATATTTGCGATTTTTATGTAAAATAATATTATTATATAACTGAAGTTTATTTTAATTTTCATTATAAAAAATATGTACATGTATTATATAAATCATAAAATTTAAAAACAAAATATTTCTTCATATCTTTTGTAAATAATGCAAACTGTCAATCGCATTAATATTTTGATTTTTTAATAAACGATTTAAATTAATAAAAAGAATGAATAATTTAATTTCCTATTATAAATAATTAAAAAATTAAAAATAATGAGAAATAATTTGAAAAGTTCCAATTATGATCTGCAAATATTAAACTAAACTAAAAAAAGAAAAAATGAAATAAATTTCTTATCCAGATATAGATATTAAATTTGCAATAATATAAAAAAATTTATTGAAGCTCGATTAAAACAATATAACAAATAAACAATAATTCTTAAAAATTATCATTTTTCGTAATGAAAAACATTATAATATTTTAACTGTACATATAATTAAACTATTATGCATTAAACTATATTAAACTATTACTATATTAATCAAAAAAATCAAATGTATCAAATTTTGACATTAAAAAACAATAATTCAAAAATTATTAAGTTTATAACAAAAATTTTCATGTAACAGACATGTACATATTTATTTAAGAGTATTAAGTTAAAATCATTTCGTTTTAAAAAAAAACAAGAAATATTTAATTTATTTAAAACATAACTAATAAAAATAATAAATATGATTTCATAAAAAGAAAAAACAAAAATTGAAATCTGGAAAACATTTAAGATAAGATTTGTGATTATTGAGATATTCTCTTTCAAAACAAAACAAAATTCTCCATTTCTATCAAAAATATTTCTTTCAAAAATAAATAGTTTAGTTAGAGAGAAGTGCATGGATCGCTTCAAGATTGTATATCAATGAAATATTATACAATTTTTAATTTTATTTTTATACATTGCATTTATTTTGTATTTAATTATGACTAAAGTAATAAATAGTAATATATAATATAATAATAATATAATAAATAATATAAATTAAGATCATAATGATAATATGCTTTTCGAATTTGTCTTAAAAAAAAAACCTATATTCTATAATAATGCTTATTTTATTCAAGTAATATTTGGCCTTACACTTAGTTTCAAAAGTAAAATACGATAAATTTCAAATTCACTAAAAATAAAGTATTTTTGGAATTTTTTCATTGTCAATTGTATATTTGACACAATTAAATTATTAATTCAAAACAATTGTTACATAAATTCATCCAAACAATTAAAAAACAATAAAACACTTTACATAAATAGCAAATATATACAATCAATCTCAAAAATATTTTTATCCTTTTATATTAAAAGGAAATTTATCTTATTATTGAAAAATTCTGTTTTTTATTGAATATATATATGTATATAATGTATATATAAAATGAACTATAAAATGAATTATATATGGAACAAATTTTTTTTTATTTACAGAAAATTTTGAGAGATTAAAATTAATCTCGAAACCTTTCAGTCTCTCTTCAATTTTGATAAAGAAACATATCAGAAGAATATCTGGATATTCTTCACAATAGGCTAATAGATAATTATAAACTAAATATTTTACAATTTAAAAATTTCGGCTCTATCGCAAAGGACTATATTTAAAGAAATATAAAAAAAAAAAATCGAAACTTTAAAAAAAATTGCTACATTTATTTATATTCTGCTCACAAAAGTTTAAAGTTAAAAAAATAAGAACAATCTTTCAGAAAATTAAAAACATTAAATTTTTATATCCAATTTATTAATACTTCTACAATCAACTTACAACACGCGATTATATATAATATTCATATACAATATTTCGCAGGATATTATAAATATCATCGATTCATTGGAAAATGGAACGAAAAATCATATCGTCCGAATCGCGATCATAAGAAAGACTGTCCATTCATCAGATCGTTTGTTACGAGTCGCATGGTATCCCGATATAGAAGTGCACGTTCGTCTTGGTTGTTTCACGGTATCGGCTTTATGAACGAACATACGAACGTACGGTGGGTAACGGCGGCGAGCGAAGTCCCTCGCACTATGCTAACTTGGTTAGGGCGTTAATGACCTAATCATGTTACATGCTGATTCAATGTTCAAGGATGAATGCTGTCCACTTTACATACCTTGCCCCGTTACCCGGTGAACAGTGAAACTCGGTCAAGTTCATCGTGAAGACGGGGGTATCTTCCCCCGTTATGATCTTCTGTTTCTTAGCAAAACCGCTAACGTGCCCCTCGTTTATTTTATACGCTTATTAGATCGAGGGATCGAGGCGATATATTTGAGGATATAATTATTATAGAGTGCGCGTTTGAAAATATCTGGAAAAATATTTCTTGTATATGTGAATGAGATTGGATAGAAATATGAGATATCAAGATTTTGATATATATACCATTATATACAGTATTGATAGATTTTGAATATTAAAACTCTCTTCATTATGATAATTGTTGTCAATAATTATTTTTGTTTTATTTATAATGCATGTTTCGTGGTTCGGTTGTAATAGAAATTTTCTATGCATACACTCGTCAAAATAAAATTTAATCAAATTTATTTTGCGATTTTTAAAGAAAAAAGTATTTGAGGTATTCATATATTTTTTAATTATGATATAAATATTAAATATTATGATTTTATGATAATATTAAAAGATTTTCTTATAGCAATCATTGTTGATAGTTATTATTTTTTATTTTATTTGATGAAATTTTTTGTTTCATCTAATACAAAGTTTCTATGTGCAAGATGCAATTTATTTTTTAAATAAACAGAAAAAATAATTAATATTATGATAATAGTAGTATTAGTATTAATTATATTAATAAAGATTTAAGGTATTCGTATTTTTGATTATGAAAGAAGTGACAAATTTGTAGAAATATGAAAATACTTGATTGATAGAATATAAATAAAATTTCAAAATTATAAATATAATATTATATGTATTATAAATATAGTATTTATTATGATAATAATCATTGTATTTTACGGCTCCTGAAAATACAATTGCAAAATAAAATAAATTGTTTATTTAATTGCGATTTTGTTGAATTGATTATATTTATGTTTTTATTTCTAAAATCTTGCTATTTTATATATATTGATTTAACATAGTTATTTCATAACTTTCTCTCAAAAATAACACTGTCATATTAATGTAAAATTTATTATAATGCAATTTTGTTTTTTTTTTTTAAATGAAAAAATCGGAAGTTTTATAAGATCCATAATATTTATGTATATTTATGCAATATCTTATATGGAATTCCTCAAATCTTTAATTTTTTTATTTATTGCTATTTTGAGTTTTTTCACATCAAAAAATAAAATAAAGATCTTATATTCTTACTTTTCTTTTATAGCACAGTATATATTTTATAATATATTACAATATAATGTATAAAAAGAATTTTTTCTTTGCAAAAATTATTTGGTAAGGAAATATATTATATTAATAGTATTAATAGTTTTTTTTTGTGAATATATAAAGATTATATGAAAATTAGCTTTAATTTTTTAAATAGAATTATGTAATTTTTAACATAATTTTATAAAAAAAATACTAAGCTATTTATATCGAAAAGTCTTATTAATTTAAGAGATATTATAATTTAAAATTGATAAAATTTATTATGTAAAGGAAAAACGAAGTTTTTATTGCTATTTCTTATCTCCTTATCTTTCAATTTATAATGTAATATATATTCATTTTTAATGAAATAAAAATTTACATTAAAATTAAATTTTATTTTTTCTTGTGTATTCTGAATTTTTTTTAAACGAAATAATGATCTTTAATAAAGATTGTTATCTGACTTGAAATGTGCTACGTTCGAAATAATTAAGGACGATTTTAACAAGATGAACGAGCTAATAAATGACACGGTTTATAGGATTACAAATAATGCAGATCTCTCTATAGCCTTCACAGCTGTTTCCTTTGCCATCTGTCCTCGAATTCCAGTTAGTATGAAAAGCTATTTCTGTGCTTCCAACTCTATCTACCGATTTTTCCTCTAATTACGAGTTTGTTTGTTAAACTATTCTACGAGTACTTGATAGAAATGTTATAATACTATGCCATTTGTATGATATTATACCTAAGAATTTCTTGTCTATAATTTATTTGTAATTAAAATGAAAATATTATAATATTAGGTGCAAATAAGTTCTTTCCTTTTTTTTTCTCCCAAATTTAAGATTTTATTATCAAGTATTATATAATCAAGATTGTGACTCAAAGTATTCAACCTCAGTCTCTTCCCACCTGATGGGAAATTATAAATTATCATCCCTGAAGAATGACGACTGCTTGCTAATAATATATAATGATATAATGATGTATATATTTTTATACTTTATATAAATAAATAATTGCAAACTATCAATCTTTTTATTATATCTTTTAAATCAAAATAATAAAAATAAATGCAATATTTATATTAATATTTAACT